TTTGCTATTACGAAAATGGAAGTTGAAATGGGAACTTTCACAGAACCTTTTAGCGCTGCGGAAATTCCGAAAAATGCCAGTGGTTTCGCAGTACTTCGCCTGCCTGTACTTCCGCAGGACTTTGAATGTGTTGTCTTTTACGATGTTATTTCGCCAACAACTGGAGTGCTTTCTCGAACATGATATCCGTAGTGCAGAGGATAGGACTGAGTCGCGCAGTCAATAGAGTAAGGTTCTCGCTTCGTTCTCTTTTGCTGTTGTAGTTCGCATTTTGCGGAATTTCCGTAGCATCTCATTTGGGAACTTCCGCAGGTGACCAGGCTGAACTTTCTCAATTGTTCTGCGGAAGTTCCGGCCAGGTGTCTGAGGGAGCCTGTTCACAGTTCTGGATACATGTATGTTATGTAATATACAATGAAATCACGCGTACAAATTAAGGCCGCTAAATGTGACCGTCAAAACTCTTTATTTTCTTTTGTCTGAATTTGTTACTGATGGCAGATTTGGTTGTGACTGGACGATAATCTGCAGAAGTGTAATCTTAATCACCTCCTTCCCTCACAAAGACTTGTATCTCTTTTCCTCAGAAAATTTTTCATCTCTTAATGTTGATTAAAATTGGTTCAGGATGCTCAAGTAACTCTATTTGAACTTTCGTTCGTCTCGCTGAAACACAATTTTCCTTAAAGATTTGATCAATCCCCAATATCTCTTATTTGAATTTTCTACCCATTCAGCTTTCGCCTACTAACCAGTAACTTAGTCCTGTTATTTGGGATTTGAAGATACTAATTCTGAATACATTCCAAAGAAAAGGACCTGAAAATTTCTTATTACTAGAGCATATATTCAGGAGCTGTAGTGCAAACAGCCGAATTCGGGCTGAATGGAAAAGTGTTCGATCAGCGTGGCGAAAATCTTCTGAAGGATTGGGTCAATAGAGCTGGTGACGGTCGAGTTGTTATTGCCATTGGAAATGGTAAGGCATCTCTGGAAACTCAAATGGCTGTCGCTACAATGATACGTTTTGGAAAGTTTGGGGCACATGTTGTTAGGTTTTGGTAAGTTCAGTTTGACAGCTAGGTTTAGAGGACTTTTATTGGGTAAGATTTTCTAGTACTGTGCCGGAAAATGGGGCCTCAAAATACAGTATCACTCCATTGGCGGAAGAGGATCTGCCAAATATGCCTCCAACGCAGCGAAGCGCTGGTGATTTTTTTGTTCATATTTTTTGAAAAAGCTGAAAATACGAGAGTTTTAGTGTCGATTGGTCGTAGACTGATTGATCCGATGGGAGAATATGTGAAAATTGAACCAAAACATTTGGGAATGGGAATGTACCAGGTAAATTTCTGCGCTTAGAAGATAACCTATTTGAAATCGTTTTTTTAGCACTCAGTAAATGCCAAGAAATTGTCTGAAGCCCTCGAGCTAGTGGTAAGAGAATGCGTTTCACTGAGAGGTGTAGATGTAAATGTCGCATCTGTTCAACTTCTTGAGTAAGTTATCATTTTTAGAATTTGAAGCTAAGAATAAGATTTACAGAAAAGTCAGCGGCTTGAACAAGAAAACCGCTGCTGGTGTGGTTGCGCTTCGGGAACAAAATGGAAGAATCAGTTCCAGGGAAGAAATCAAGGCAGTGAAGGGTCTAGGAGC